TCTTTTGAAAAGTTTCTGTTCATGTCCTTTGCCCACTTTTTGATAGGGTTGTTTCTTTTTTTTTTTTTTTTTTGCTGTTTTTCCTGAGTTCTATATAGATTCCAGTTATCAGCCGTTTATCGGATGTGTAAGCATGTGAATATTTTCTCCCATTCTGTAGGTTGTCTCTTTGCTCTCATGATAGATTCCTTGGCTGTGCAGAAGATTTTTAATTTGATCAGGTCCCATTTATTTATTTTTGTGGTTGCTGTGATTGCCTTTGGGATTAGGATTAGAATCTTAATGCTGCCACCTATTTTCTCTGTGATCTTAGACAAATTACCTTAACTATCCTAAGCCTCTGTTTCCTTCTCTGTAAAATGGGGTTAATAATTCCTATTTCATAGGGTGGTTAAGATTAAATATAATAATAATGTAAAGTGCTTAGCAAAATATCTGGTGCTTGCCATAAGGGGCCAGACATGTTTCTGGTATTTTTTTTTTTTTTTTTTTGAGACAGAGTCTCACTCTGTTGCCCGCGCTAGAGTGCCGTGGCGTCATCCTAGCTCACAGCAACCTCAAACTCCTGGGCTCAAGCGATCCTCCTGCCTCAGCCTCCTGAGTAGCTGGGACTACAGGCATATGCCACCATGCCCAGCTAATTTTGTACATATATATGTTTTTTTTAGTTGTCCAGCTAATTTCTTTCTATTCTTTTTTTAGTAGAGACAGGGTCTCGCTCTTGCTCAGACTGGTCTCGAACTGTTGAGCTCAAACAATCCACCCGCCTCGGCCTCCCAGAGTGCTAGGATTACAGGCGTGAGCCACCACACCCGGTCTCTGGTATTCATTTTAATGGGGGTTCATCATCTATTTACTTTTATCCCACATTTGAAATTTGTTCAGAATTACATGAAAAACATATGCATTTCCTGAGAGTAAAGACTGGTTGAAACAACTAATATGTAGGTATAAATATAATAAAATACATAGCGATGCCAGACTTTTGCCTGAAAAGGTCATGGTACAATATAGTTAATCCAGTTTCCCTGCTGCCAACCCTCATCTACAAGGAAATCATTAATACTAGAAAAAATAAAACAATGAATAATGCATGGAGAAGAAGAGAATGGAGTCTCTTAGTTTGTCAATCCTGCTTTGAAAGAGAGCAAGTTAAATGGTTATCCCAGTCAGGAACCCTGTTAGAATCTTTATCTTTCTTACAAATGTGACTAATTATTTTAAAATTTAATATTTGGTCTTAATGTGCAAGTTTAAATGTTAATTCATTTACTTTGTGGCAATAAAGAGATAGCAGGCATAATTTTGAACTCCTGTATTAATTAGCACTAGGTATTTATCTGTGAAGTGCTTAACAATATGTTCTAATGTCCTTAAATTCAAACCCAGTGATAGAATAGCTAGAAAAAAGCAGTTCATCCATGAAACGCAAGATACCTTACATCTCCCCTACACTATCCTTTATCCCATGTCTAATGTAATGATTAAAACACTTTACGTAGTGTTTTGTAGTTTTTAAGTGTGCTTTCATAGTGGAAGGTGGGATAATACCAACATATATTAAATACCTACTGTGTACTGGGCAGGATCCTAGATGCTTTCTGTACATTTTCTCCTTTAATCCTCAAAACTCTGTGAGATAAGTGATAATTCTCCATGTTCAGAGGTGAGGTTGCTTTGTGCTGGCGTTTGAATCAAGATGTCTTAAGACTTCAAAATACGTGTTTTGCATATTCATGCCACCTGTCAGTAGGTGCTCAGTAAATGCAAGAATAAAACCAAATAGTGCAATTGTATGATTATACATTTGAGATCTTTACTTTGTTAAACAAGCTTTAGTAACAATTTCTTATATTTGTTAAGCAGTTCACAGTTTTTAAAGTGATTTCAGTTTTATTGCACTTTTATTACTATGGCTGCAAAAACAAAATTACCCTAAAATTTAGTGGTGTAAAACAATTATATATTTTGCTTTCAGATTCTGTGGTTCGGCAATTCAGACAGGGCACAGCAGGAATGGCTTGTCTGTTCCATGGTGTCTCAGACCTCAGTTGAAAGACTGGGGCCTGAAATCTGAAGACTTTTTACTCACATGTCTAGTAGTTGATGCAGGTTGTCAGCTGGAGGTTTCAGTTGCTCTCTACATGGGCCTTTCCACGTTGTCTCTTTAGTTTAGGCTTCTTTACAGCACAGTGGCTAAGTTCCAAAGTTGATGTTCCCAGAAAGAGAGTACTAGCGGGGCAGAGGCTGTTTCCTTTTTTATGACCTACCTTCAGAATCACATAATAATCACTTCTTTGACAACTCTTGGTGAGAACAGTCAGAGCCCCTGCCCAGATTCAAGGGGAAGGAACATAGACTCCATTTCTCAATGGAGGACTACCAATCACATTGTGAAAAGAGCATGTGAGATGATATATATGTGTGTGTGTGTGTGTGTGTGTGTGTGTGTATGTATATGTATATATATATACATATATATATAGATGCAGCCATCTTTGGAAAATACAGTCTGCCCCATTAGTATACTTGATTTTCAAACTAACCTCTGAACTAGATCAGGCAGGTCACTTTACTAGTGGAGAAATTATGCAAAGTAATAGTGCAGTAGCAAATGTCTTATAGTTAAACTAGAGGGATCAACCACACAAACTAACCAATAAACTCATAGGCGTCTCCAACTAGGCTGGGATATTTGATCTATTTTGAAGATTATATAACATTCCAGTTTATTATAGAGTTACAGTAAAAGGTGTAAAAAGTATCAAATGGGATGATCAGCATTTGGAGTGAATATGCCAGCAATACTTAAAAAGTTTTTTCTTTGGTAATGCCACTGGATTTTAATCTACCAGCTGAGTTTAGAAGAGTATTGGCAAACTACAGCTGATGGGCCAAATCCAGCTAACCCTGTTTTTGTAAATAAAGTTTTATTAGAATACATTCATTTGTGTAATGTCAATGACTGCTTTTGTGCTACAGTAGGTGAGTTGTTGAGTATTTGTGACAGAAACCATGTAGCCACCAAAGCTTAACATAATTATTATCTGGCCCTTTACATAAATTTTCAGACCCTTGGTAGAAGATCAATCAGTTGCCATCAAATAATCTGAAATTCCCCCTACTTGAGGCTGTGGTTTTAACCAATTCATTTGTTCAACAAACATGTAAAAACTAGCACTAGTGCTGGAAATACAGAGAAACAACTTAATGCTTTTGCCTTCAAAAGAGCTCATAGTATTGTTAGGGAGTCAGACAACCCTAGATTTACATAGGACAGGGTCATGAGTAGTACTGTTTTATAGCTGTGCACAAATTTCTTTCCCAGAGAAGAAAAGTACTATGGCTAAAGATTGAGGTCTGGTTTTTTTTGGAGAAAGCTTCCTGGAAGACTGATACGGATCAGGTTCCTGGAAATAAGTAGGCATTAACAAGGGGGGAAAGAGCCTTACACATAAGAAGTATAAGCAAAGATTTGTTAAAGTAGTTTTATACTTCAAGGTACTGTCAGAATTCACTGTAACTGGAAAATAGAATAGAGTTGGGGAAGTAATAAGAGGTAGTGCTGGCGGTGAGCATTTAAGCCACTGAGGCAGGAAAAGACTTGAAAACCCCTTAAGAGACCGCATTGTGAAAATGCATTAATTGGTTGTACAAATGGTGATGGTCATGGAGTGTAGGATGACTGACCTGGAAAACCAGCTGGTCAGAGAAATGGTACCAATTTATGAAGATACTGAATACTTCAGGAGGAATAGATTTAAGGAGAAAAGATAAGTTTCACTGTTGGAGATTTTGAGTTTGTGATGTGTATGCAACATCTAAATGAGACGTCAAGTGGGCTGTTGGCTTTGGAAGCTTGGCATTCAAGAGAAAATATTGGCAGTTTTCAATAAATTGGTATCTGAAGCCATAGATAAAGATGCAGTTGTCCATGGAAAGTGTGTAAAGCTAAGAGAGAACCAAAAGCAGAACTGTGGGAAGCAGCAGCATGTAAAAGATCATAGAAGAGAAAGGAAATAGAGGACAAGCCTATGGAAGGAGCAGCTAAAGCAGAACAGTTTTGAATGCCTTTGCATTTGGTGGTTTTGGCAAATTTAGTGGAGTAGTAGGATCAGAAACCAGGCTTTAGTAACAATTCAGAAATGACAGAATGTGGGAAGAGCGAACCATAGGGCTTGAATATACTGATGGATTGTGTTATTGATGAAATGAAATCCCTGTGGAGATGAGAGAAGAGAGAATCCAAAGCACAGGTAGAGGGATTGGCCTTATAGACAAATGAAGGTATACCACATTCACTGAGATGTGAAAGAAAAATGGATGAGGGAAAGAATATTTTTGAAAGCCTGATTTTGTCTGTCATTCTGATTAGTTACTTTAAGTCATTTTGTTTAATGTTCACAGCAGTCTGTTTTATATAGGAAACATTACTCCTTGCTTTATGAGTGAGGAAATGAAAGCTTAGGGAGGATAGCTTGCCCAGGATCACATATCTTGTAGATGATGGAGCTAGTACCTAAAACCAAAAGTTTGATTTCTTCTATGCTCTTGCTTTCTCCCACACCATCCCGTTCTTTCTCTTCCCTTCCCCTGCTGGATGTGACTGCAAATAGATCCTACAATTAGTGTTACTCCATAGACCTATATGAACAGGTCCTAAGTTCTTATAATGAAATGGCATTATTTTTTCTTAAAAGAAAATTCCTTTTAAAAAAATGTTCGATAAAATATATAATATACATATCATGAAAATGATTTTTTTTTGTATTTTAGCTAAGCTGAAAGATGATAGATTTTTAAGAAAAAAGCTTATGTGGGAGGTGGGAGGCACCAAAGACTCTCATATAAGGTTATAGAGTTTAAAAAAGAATTTTCCTCCAAATGAAATATTTCGGTAACTTGTTTCCAGTGTGTTTTTAACAACCCATTTTCTCTTTTTTGGAAGGTTTATAACGTAAATATGGAGTTACATTTTATTTCTTATTTTTTATTTTCAGGTGTCTGCTTTTGGGGCAGACTTTTCATCGGAGGCATGCAGAGAGTTAGGCTTCTCTAGCAACTTGCTCTGCAGCTCTTGTGACCTTCTTGGACAGTTCAACCTGCTTCAGCTGGATCCTGATTGCAGAGGATGCTGTCAGGAGGAAGCACAATTTGAAACCAAAAAGGTACTGTTTTCTAGTGTATTTCTTCCATTGGATGGTTTAGTTAAAGTAAAATATAAATTGTTTAATCAAGTTAAGTGTAAAGAGGTCTCTAGCTTTTATATTTTTCAGTAAAACTCAACTGATTTCTTGCCTGTGTCATTAGCTCAATCAAAGCAAATAGGAAGGAAAAGTATGGTTCCGTACCAGGATCCCATTCCACCATGATTGTCAAGCAAATTGGAAGCAGAATCCCTATAACATACTTGGATCCTATGGTTCTCCAGTCTTCCTAACTCTTAGCCAAATGAAGCCAAAGAATAATTAATAGGTTCTTCTGTTCGTTTGTAATAAGAACAGTGTTAAGATGAAAGTTGAGATGAGAGTAAAGCATGTAATACTTGACTCATAATTATAGACAATAAATTATAACTTTAAATCTGGTTAACAAAGAATATGGACTGTTAATTTACATACCTTTTACTAATAATTTGAGACACCTAACCTCACCTTTAACATCTGAAAACTGAACCAAGGATAGGTAGTTCTGTCTGTCCAGTTCTGCTGTTTTAAACCTGCTGTTCAAACAAATTAATAGTGAACTTGCTCAACTTTTAAATCTTTTCATTAAAACTCTTAGATTTCTTTAAATTCCAAAATAGCCTGGAAAGATCATTTATGTTATCCAAATAAAACCGAATTAGTGAGAACCCTGTGTTTGGAGTGAGAAAAAATTTTGGCATCTCTCTGTTAAGTTTCCTTTTAATACTCTCTTTCACTTGTACATGCTTAATTCTGTTTGAAGTGTTATGGTTTGTAAAGCTTTCAAACAGTAATATCTTCTCATTGTTAGATAGTAAAGATTTATTTCTAACACTAAGTACATTTTTAGAGATCTAAAGGGAAAACAAGCAGACAAGCTTTAAAATGTTAGTATTCAAAATTTAATGCCTGATTTCTCAATATCATGAATCTGAAATTCCCAGTGTCCCAAAAATGGCTTGCAAAGTCTTACCTGTTTTTTACTTTATTATACCAGTAATATATTTAAATGTTGAGAAGCTCTCCATACCTATAAGTTGGTCCTTATTACATGTAAATAAAATCTAAACAAGTTTTAAAAACTTGATTTTAAATAGATCTAAAACATAGGACTTACCTTGTTTAGTATGACCCTTCTCCTTTTTTTTTGGATGAGACATTCACATGGGACAAATTGCTGAAGGAATCTGTGAGTCATCATCTCCTTATCATTAAACTATTCTTATTCTGTGGTCTGTACTACTTACTACTCAACCAACTGTTTAGTCACTAAGACACCAAACTTAGAAGGATAGCAGAACAAGGAGTATTTTATAATAAACAATCTTTATCACACCCCCTTGTGATTACAGGTAAATTGAGATGTCCATTCTTTGATAACAAATATGCCTAAACTGTACACCAAGTGCATACATATATAAGCTATTTTTATTTGTTGCCATTTCTCAGTAGTCCTTAAAACTCTAGTTTTGTGGTATAATTTTAGTGGAACCAAACTTGGATCACACACTTCTAAAAATAATTATATTCCTGTTCAGTTTTCATTATTAATTCAGTTATGTGTTGTATTTTGACACCTTTCAGCAGTTACAGCTCAGCAATAACAACAGGCAGGTAGTCTGCCAGTTAATATATGCCCAACTAATTACAAGCTGGAATGATTATTATATCTCAGTACAGGTGAGCCTGTGTCCTAATACACCTTTTATACTAAATCCAGTTTTTTTCTTTGCTCCTCCCCTAATCTCTAGGATGTACTTCTTATTAAGCCTTTAATAGCACCGTTTGCACAAAGTTGATGAGTGACTTTCTTTAGTAAGCCTAGTGGAACCAAAACATATCAAAAACACTTAAAAATAATACCAGAAACTGTAAGAATATGGCATGTTGGGTGGGCCCCCATTTAGATGCAAACCATATTCAAGTATAGAAATAGTACTTATTTAATCTGTGCAATACTTCTCTCTGAATTATTGGTATATCATCATAGGTAACACAAATCATAGTTAAATTTAGTCCTCATTTAATAAAAATTAAAATCTATAATATATAGACTAGTGCCTTATATTAAAGATACTTAAACATGGCTATGTGTGTATGAATTATTGTGAATTTATAATTCTTTTAGAAAAGGTAGTTTTCTAAAAGAAGTTTATATACAAAAACTTTTAGCCATTTATCAATATAATAAATGATATTAGGACATTCATTTTTGGTTCTTGCTTAGTTATATGTTTTATAGGCCTATCCAAGGAGGAGACTAATCATTTTTAGTAATGGTCATTTTTTTTTCAGTTTTAAGTGTTTTATTTCATAGTTCATAAAAAAAAAGTTTATATGTGCAAAACTCAAATAGAAAGGCAGTTTTCACTCACAGATGAGACAGCAGTCATTCAAACTCTACTGTGGAAGTATATCTAATGCATATTCCTCAATGTCACACCTAAATAATTTTAACTATGCAGTCCAAGTTCTGGATTTTCTATTACATCTGCATATATAAGACACTTGTGGTCAAATTTTAAGATTGGTAAAGTCAATTTCATGCTGCTTATAGTCTGAGTACAGACTTCACTATTGCAAATATATGATGTTAACTAACAAAACAGTAATCCTCCAAGATCTTCTCTTTGTCCCACGTTCACACATTTGTAATCTGAGTCCGTTTGCTAATTTCCCTTCTTGTAGTTAATCTTCAAATTACAGTAGCTATGCATTAAGATCTCGATGCATCTCACCCATCTCCTTTATCTCAGCCTTCTCATACTTTGCCATTCTCTTCTTTCTGGAAATAACCAGCACAACAACTCCAGCAATAATTGCTATTGTCACAACCACAATGACAGCAATAACATCGGCTTTTAGACCCTGCATTGAAAATTCTGGTGCTTTTTCATCAACATAGTAAATTAAAATTTGACCAGTATCCAGCTCCAGTTGTTCCCCATTTACTCTCAAGTCCATTTTTTTAGAAGAATGGAACAAGGATTCACCTTTAAAATCTTTTTCAAAAGAATAAGCGACATCATCTATGTCCACATCATTCTGAGTTTTCTGAGAAGAATTTTATATCAGATCAATAGTAATAACATTATTCTCATACAGAATATTTGTGATATATTTTGGATCCAGCTGATAACGAGTTGTGATTGTCTCCTGAAGCACAGTCTGCAAACTTTGAACATCATAAGGTTTTTCTCTTGCTTTGTGTTTTAGTTCAGTGATGATCCAGTAGGTCCCCACTCATTCGGAGCAAGTTATTTCAGTGTCCTTGTCAGTTCTTCTGACCCCAGCGGTCTTCACACACCAGCGTGTGGCAGTGCCATTGCACTACTTGGCTCTAAAGAGCCCCTGCTCATCGCAGTCGGAGTCATAAAGCCCATCATTGTTCTGCAGAGCCCCTTCAGGTTTCGCTCTTCTCCCAGACTTTGAGCCAGTCATTTCTGCCTTCACCACCAAACATTTGGAAGCCAGTTTTGAGCAAATGACAGTATTTTGTGTACCAGTTGCCGTACACTGGCACTGACCATTTACGTTCAAAGAGCAGTCTGTGGACAGCTTGTAGTTTTTACAGACACATTCTCTCTTTGCTGAGCCACAAACCACTGTCACCGCCGCTGCCGCCAGCAGGCGTCCGAACGCAAGGACCTAGGGGGGCGCCATGATGCGCGCACCGTGAAGGGGATTGTGGGGCGGCCCGGGACTAGAGGGAGGCCGCGGGCCGGTGGGTCAGCACGAGGCCTGAGGCGCGGTGGTTCGCGGACCCTGTTTAAGGTGCGGAGCTCTCCCTGGGGCTGCGAGCTCGGAGCAGTAATGGTCATTAACAGGCTGCATTTAGTCTTTGATAGCCAGAAGCATAAAATTTTGTTAAAAATTATTCCTAAGTAAAGCAGAGAATGTCTTTGAAATCTCTTGTCATTCTGCTAATGGATATTCTGTTATACTTTTTATTTGGTCTCTGCCCCCACACACACATTTTGATAATAAAGGACCTACTAAGCATCTCAAATACTAGATGGCTAGAATGAGATTTTTGGTAAGCTATTTTACTACTGTTTTAAGTAGCTTTGCTTACAACTATGTACTCAGGTATAATTTACAAACATTGGTAAGGATGTTGACTTACTTGTGAAAAAATACCAATCTGTAGCTTGAAGAGAAGTGTAAACTAATTGGAAGAAAAAATATTTAAACTTCAGTACTATTTTTGTACAGTTACTGTTTACTGAGTAACATGATTTCAGCTTTATGTATAGAATCTTAAGATGAAAGGGAAGGCACTGTGAAGATACACAGTTCAGTTGAGTAGAGCTCTTACCATCAACCTTGTATTTGAACTTCCTTGTCCAATAATCTTAGCTACCTGGTTTAGGGAAAATAGTTAATCTTTCAACTCATGGAACCCCATAGTTGAGCGACAACCTGGGTGGAAGGAGGTGGATAGAAATCAGAGACTGACTGGATCTTGCAGTGTCTCTCTTTTGTGTTTTCTTTTGTGTGTTAATTCCATTCTTTTTTTCACTTCTGACTGGCTTTTTGAAAATACTTTAGACAAGGATTGTTACTGGGTCAAGTTGGGTCACTAAACAATTATCAGCTGTGGTTGTGGAATAAGGCAAGAACCTGTTAGCTGCCACAGTAGCTGTGTGGAAAGATTTAACTCAGGTGTCCCCTCTTCTGAGAATTTTCCCCACCTTACCCACCACCTCTATCACTCCCACGTTATGGTAGCTACAACACCATATTCCAAAGCACTTGAGGATACCTTGATTTGCACTATATCTATTGTTTTGCTTTTCTTCCCCATCTCCCTCCTTTTGCTTTTCTTTCTCTCCCAGTAAATTATGCTCTTTGAAGTCTAGGACTGCTTTTTAATAGGTTTCTGAATTCCCATCCTTTAGCACACAGTATTTCATAAAGTTTTGCCCTTGAATATGGCTGCTTTTACTAAGAACAACATGGAAAAGGTGATTTTTTTTAAA